TCGTAGTCAGTCTGCTGGGAAGAACGGTGCGGCGAAATGTTGGGTACTTGTTGGACTCTGCTCTAGCCAGAATGTTGATGAGGGTACTCAGAGCATTAAATGCTGGAGCCAACCATGGCAATGGGGTAGACTGCAATGCCTGAGACAGCCCCGAAGCGGGATTAAGGTGAAAAGAGGACGTGTAAGTGGCCATGATGGCTTGAAAGTTGTCAGAGGCTCTTGGTCGATATAAAGCCCGGATTATAGATCGTTCGTGTATGAGAGTGGGTGTCGGAAGCTGGGGGTTGCATCTTGCTCAAGCACCTCTAAATTTATGTCATTTGCTGTGGAGCGGCAAGCGAAATATTACAGGACTTGTTGACGCACCAGTGAACACAGCTTGTATTCTACGGGCACTGCCAATCAGTTGTTCCGGGGGAACTTGTCTATAGAAGGAACGACTGTCAGAATCGGCCCCTTCTACCTAGGGAATACCAGGAACTTGTCGACCCCACTTATCGTTGAAGCTGAAGGACAACGTCACTAAACGCAACTCGCCAAGACTAGCCCTCATTGATTACGAAAAATAACAGGAAAGCAAGATGAAAGCGGAGAAACTACCCGAGCAAGTACAACGAACAGTAAGCGTAAACATGTGGAATTACTACGTCTTATATCTATAAAGCATCGTCACGATCTGCATGTAAGGAACGATTGCATTCCTTTTGATCAGTCTAGGGAGCTACTATGTTTCCCCGTCCGCATGAAGTCTATCCCTGATGCGCATTAAGGCCCTTCCAAGTTCGTTGGCACCTTCGCCTGAAGGACCTTGCCCCCAGTACAAATTAGGATCGGCATACACAATATCAGCAAGATGTGTGCGCAACAGCAAACTTCGAAGATGCGGATGTTGCTTGAATTTGAGATATAGCACATCTTCCATCTGCAGACAAATAGTTAGAGGACGTTAATCCATCAGAACATCAATGAAACAGCCTCACAATCTTCAAGAATACCAGGCCCCAATCTGGTCGCACGCGATCCTGGAAACTGGCTGACAACGGGTACATGTCACCGACATCGGTGCACGTTCGTATACGCTCCTGGAGCTCGGGGTGTTCCGTAAACTTCATCGCCTCAAGGAGGTGCATCGCAGTCGGATACATCTTATTTCTATATAACACTCGGTGTGGCGAGTGATTCACAAACCCGCTCAGCTCACCAATATGGTCAAACTTGACGGGTGGCCCGCGATCGGGAACCGGCATATCTCGTAGTGGGGCGTTTCCAGTGTGTGTGTTTGCCCCATGGGGTATGGCTGCAGATGCAGGTATAACGAAGGATGTCACGGTGTTGGAACGATGAAGACGACTGCCAGATTCGCTCTCGCTGCCTGATGTACTGAAAGCGCGAAAAAGTCCCTTGCGCGATTTACCCTTGCGTTTACTAGAACCAAATAGGTTTGCTAGACGGGATGTCGGACCTGCTGGCTGAGCCAGCATGTTTTCCATTTCCTCCATGTTTTCGACATTCAAGGAGAGGGTGATATCCTTCGGGAGTTCCTGTAGAACTTGGCGATATGGGGTAGTGTCCCATATATCTCTAGGTGGAGAGGGAAGGGGATTTCTCCTTCGGATGGGAGGGACGGTTGGTGGTCTAAATGGTACATCATTCACATAGGGCTCAGGCATGGAAACGGGGTGATCTGCTGGGCGGTAGAAGTCGGTGAATCTTGGACGAGATGATGAATTAGCCGCACGCTGTGCGTCGGTTAAGACAGGGGGAGGAGGAACAACGGGTTCTCCTTGTCGAGCAGTCATATCGGGGATCACGGGGCCTGGAGTCGCCCGACTGTTTACATGTGGCTCGGGCATGCGTGTCGTTGGTTGTGAGTAAGCTCGTTGCGTGTCGCTTAGGATGGGAGGAGGAGGGAAAACGGTGTCTCGTGGGGGTTGCGCATTAATTATGACAGGGGGAGGAGGAACAACGGGATCCCGCCGAGCAGTCGCATCGGGTATCACGGGGCTACCAGCCATCTGGTTGTTTGTATATGGCTCTGGCATGCGTACTTGCGCCCCTGCAGTCGGTGCAGATGGGATGACTGGTGCATTTTGAACGGCAGCGACCGGAACATATGCTTGTGGCATAGCCAGAGGTTGCTGCATAGGAATCATCGCCACTGGGTAATACGCGCTCATTTGTGGGTACGCGGGTTGTACCTGTGGGTCTTTTCATCCGCCACCATTAGGGAACGGCTACTCTCCCGAGACTATCACGCACAATACTGATATCCATAGGCTGCAGGCGGAAAGCCATTGGGGAACTGCTGATACATGGGATGTGCTTTCTCTTTTCCTTTCTTCGTCTTGACTGAGGTCCAGGTTGAAGACATTCCGTTTGAGCTGACGCTTGGAACTGGAAAAGGATACGGTGTGTGCTTTGAGGAGCCAGCGCCCATGGTGGCGATGTCTGTCACGGATATGCGTAAGTGATTATCGATTATCTATAAAACACGAGTATCGAGGTTGGTGCGATTGTTATAGTTTAGGATACGAGGACCACTGATGCAAGGTAAATGCCAGGATTGAACCGTGGGCATGAGTAAGTTTGTCGTTCTATTACAAGAGTAAAAGTTCAGAAACTCAAGCAATCCGGAGTTGTTTAGAGAGTATCAGTGGCTAGGTCAAGGGTATCCAAGTCATGTACAACATTAATGAACATTCCCTCGATATGAAATGTGAGAATGTGGGCAACGTATCATTTCTGCACTACTAGCCGAGCCGGCATCCAACATGAACTTGGCGCGCACAAAAAAGGGTTTGCAATCGGTAGCTAGTGAACAGTAGATAAAGCAATCAATCGTAGCGAGAGCCTCTGCGTCGAGGTGGGCTCCTTGATCGCGAACCCGACGGTGACCGTTTCCCACCTCTGCCTCCCCGGCCACCTCGGTGAGGTGGTGAATCACGCCTCGGAGGCGGACGTCTGTCTGATTCTCTGTTGCGGTCAAAGTCGCGATCTCTTCCAGCAAAGTCTCCGCCTCGTCCACCACCACCTCCCCCTCTTCCTCGTGGGCCACTGGGGGGAGGAGGATTGGAGTCCCCTCGCCAATGACCCCCGCCTCGGCCGACGGGGGCTGCTGCTCCCCATCCTCCATCGCCCTGTCGTGGAGCTGGTGCGGATCTCCACCCATTTGGAACTGGGGCCTTGGCAGTAGTGTCTGCCTGGGTAGCTGCGGCCACTGCAGCCGCAGCGGCTTTTGGAAGGATGATAGAGACGCAAAGATAGTCTCCTGGCACGAACCGAAGTTCATCAAGCGTTCTCTCCTCTTTCTCCCGCTCTGTCTGTTCTCTGGATTCGCCATCCGTGTCGTTGAGCAGGCGTGCCGCGGGGCTGTCAAGGGTTACCTGGCTCGCCTAAAATGTCGCGAGAATAGACCATACCGAGTTCTTTCTGTGCAAAGCGCCCTCTGTTTTGCCGCATCTGCATATATAGCGCGGAAGGAATAACGAGCAAGAGGGTGGCGAAGCTCTGCTATCTGGGGGTGCAAGCATTTCGGAGCGTTGTCAGTACCTTCGCGCAAAGTCGCGTCTTTCCTGGTGGCGGCGTCAAAGTAAAGTCAGAATCAGCACAACCTGCATGCATACCAGGTGTAAATCTGTTGTTCATCCGTGGTTGGTAGAGTATTTTCCTCAAACAGGACAGCCTGTGGAAGGATCCAACTTTTACGAAAGTTCGGATGAGGAATGGGGCCGTCTATTAGAAGAGAAAACTGAGATCAACTGCAAAGGGTAGGAAATCTTGAAATCACCTTCTCCCTCTCGACAATAGGCTGTCCCGCTGGGGTCGTTTGTCTCTATGTCGTGCCATTTTATTGAGACGTTGCAGATGAGCTTGAGACGTGTGGTGTTAGTAGACCTCAGATGCTGCTTACATACATGTACATTTGGAGCAAGGCTTGGCGTGAGCTACCAGCCAGCTTTCTGTCCCGCACAGGCCTGCTAGTCAATTATGCTCAATACTTTTCGGCTGGATGGAACCCAGGGCAGTACGTCTCACATTCCTTATCTACCCCTGCAACACAACATGGGCCGGGGAAGATGTCGTTCCTGGACACTCTTATGACTGTAGGACCTCTGATCGCTGTATACTCTCTCATTGGACTCAACATTACTGGAGCTTCAGCTGTGACGCCTCTTCATAACCAGCCGCGAACCCGACGTTCTTTGGACCGGCGTGAATGTTTGGGCTCACATAATGAGGACATCCAGGAAATGGGAAGTCTGTGTGAGGTCTGTGCAGACGTCTGTGTCTAGGTCTGTGTCAAGTCTTTGTCAGCATTATCCGGGAGTTACCAGGGGAGGTCTGTCAGCCGCCAAAGGTCTGTCTGCCCGCCGTCTTACATAACCACTGATCATCTTATCCCGCCGCCCTCTCTCGTTTGCCCGCCGCCTCCCTCGTTGCGCGCCGTCTCTCTCGTTTATAAAGCCAAACATCACATCACATCCTGACGCTGTCGCAAGTCAGGCTGCTGGACTTGGTGGGAAGTACGCTTGGCTGAATGCTGCAAATTCCTCTGTGACAAGTGCTAAACCAAAGGCTGCGGCATCTTCTGCTGCTGCAACAAGTCCAGCCACCACCACGACCCCCGTGACTACCACAGCTCCTGCAGCATCAATGACCGCAACAACATCCTTGGCGCGGCCGTATGTAGGAAAGAAAGGCAGTCCGACATCACCGCTGACGGGAGAGGATGATGATCGGATGCCAGTCACAATGCGTGAGGCGATTTTCGCCATAGAGAAGGAAAGAGGTCATGGAGGAGGTCGCGGATCCGCCCGCGGATGGTCGTAGCTGGTTGCGCTTTCTAACGTTGTTGTTTCGATCGATATCGTCTGCATGGCTAGTCGTTTGTTTTCTCTGTTTCGTACCTACACTTCACTTCTAAATAACCTGCCGCTGGCGAAAGTTTCAACTGAGACACTGAATGCAAATTAGCAGGGCCCGCTATAGATTATCAAACTATAGTACATATACCACGAGCATCTAAGTAAGTACCACCCTCTACTTGTACTTACATGTTACGGCTTCAATGTGACGAGGGTATTGGGGACCAGCTGAATGAAGGAATGATTGCAAGGACATCAGGTAATTGGAGGAGCTCGGGGAAGAATCTGAAAAAATCGACATCGCGCATGCTAATAGCAAAGAAATTAGTTGGAGGCAGAGATGCGAAGCAGCTGACACTTACCCTGGCCATAGGCTTCCCTGCGTTGCCATTCTGGTCACTCTGACATATCGTAAGTGCAGCGCTACCACAGCCAGTGCAGTCAACAGCCAGACCAATGGTCGTCATGCGCCACAGTATGCCGGGAATATTGGGCAATCAAAGGGCGGGACTGAATGATGTGGCGCCCATGGTTCAAGTATAGGTAGCTGGCAACGAGGGGAGGCGGCGGGCAAACAGAGAGGGTGGCGGGAGGGACTGCAGGCAATGAGAAAGTGGCGCACAAACGAGAGAGACAGGCGCGCAACGAGAGATGTGGCGCGCAACGAGGGAGGAGGCGGGCAAACGAGAGAGGGCGGCGGGATAAGATGATAAGTGGTTTATGTAAGACGGCGGGCAGACAGACCTCCCCCGGTAACTCTCGGGTAACGCTGACAAAGTCTTGACACAGACCTAGACACAGACGTCTGCACAGACCTCACACAGACTTCCCAATACCCTGACTTTCTGCACATAATAGCCTTCTCCCGAAAATTCACCACATCTTTTAAGTTTCAGGTCAGTAACGGTGATACAAACTTTGTCTATCCATCTTGTCCTATAATTTATCAGACACGTGTTTATGTCTAAGTTTACCGGCTGTGGGAGAGATACATAGTAGGGCGTAATCATCCTGACGAATTAAGTTATGCTATCGCCATCTCCGGACTCGTGGCATATGCATATACTCCAGACTGCTGACCAGCTGACGAAGACGCGCTCA